CAGTGGTATATTAATTTCCAACCTGCACACTCTACACACAGCCTAGCTCCTGTATCAGGTAAGTCCACTAAGAGCTCACCATAGCCAGTGCTTCTCGGAACTTTTGTTCTCTGTAGCTGAATCAAAAACAACAACACACACTACCGTTTTACCCTGAGACCTACAGCACAGTGACACATGCCACACACTTATCATAGCTTTCCGCCATTTCACAGCACTTACGCTATTATTTACTTACTTTATATATGTATACTGTGAATCTTTTTCTGATTAACCAACCAGAGTTGTGATCTGAGACTCCATCACAGCTCATTATATTCGAACTTTTCTTGCATAGTGCTTCGCTCCGTTCATAAGTTCGAATTACATCTCTATAAATGCTTTCTCCACGTATTGTAGATACTGTAGATAGGCTGATGATTCAGCCTGTCATTAAAAAAAGACCATTAGGTTCGCAACGTAATAATGAAAATGACTTTGCACAAAACTCACAACTGATTATCGAACTTTGCTTGAACATTGCTTCACTCACTTCTTGTGCTCAAATAGCACTTCTCTAAAGGCTTTACCAACATACTTCAAATAAAAATAATTACAACAAAACCTAACACCTAACCTCAGCCTAACGACAAACGAAATTATAATTATAATATTATTTTTATTTAAGGAAATGCTTATTTCTAATTCATGTCAAAATTTATAAGTGAATCTTTTAGGTCGACTGCCGCTTCGGACGAGTTCAACTTGCCGTTGACAAATGGTGACCTAGGTTTTAATGTTATTGATTGTCGTCGAACCATTCGGTTGGTGCATATTACTGGTTAGTGGACAAGAAAATAAGTTAGAATATATAGGAGCTGCGAAGTTTGCGATGAACTACAGTTAAATAATCACAGTATTGTGAGAGGAATGTGCGGTTCAAGTTCAAGTTCAAGTTCAAGTATGTTTATTGAGACAAGAAAAAAATACATCTCAAAGGGATAGAGTAGCTTAGGCTATTTCTACCCCCCTCTACTTCAAGTCCCTCAAGGGGCGCACAAATTCAGTGAGTACAGATACACAAATCACAATACAACATTTAACATTGCATATTAATATAGTAAGTGTTACAATCATTGGGGCAAAATTCTTGTAGTTCCTAAGTATTCTGTCTATCATATCATTATCACACATCCAAACAATTTGAAGTGGTACACTACTTATTTCCTTATTTCTATGGTTCCATAATTTGACACTTTAATACATAATGGTCTTCCAAGTTCAAGTAGGTTTATTGAGACAAGTTAAAAAAAAAAAAAAACTCAAAGATTAGCTTAGGCTATTTCTACCCCTTCCCATACTTCAAGTCCCTCAAGGGGCGCACAAATTCAGTGAGTACAAATACAAGAATCCCATGTAACATATCAGGTTAATATAGTACTATCTAAGAGTATAATAGTGTACATCCACCGCACTAGATTTTAACCCATTAACGCTCCAAGATAATATTCTCACTCTACTTTCATCCATGATTTAATAAAACTACCTTTGCCCTGTCTGTCACATTCCATGAGATACGAGATTTTCTCAGACAGACTCTCCCAACACTGTAACATTTCTGCTTTCTCCTCATTTGCACAACAGCTACTAGCATCAAAGGTGATCTTATTCATATCTAATTTCTTTCTTATTTCTCTATACCGTTTTACTTTAACCTTTGTTTCAACATTTGTCACTACAGAAGGTTGAACGCTAACACTACTAGAAAGTTCATTTTCCTGACTATCCTCTATCATCAATACGTCATGTTCTTCCTTACTTTCTTCAACGCACATTTCACGTCCTGTTTCACTTTCCACTTCACGTCCTATTTCACTTTCCATTTCACGTCCTGTTTGACTTTCCATTTCACGTCCTGTTTCACTTTCCATTTCACGTCCTGTTTCACTTTCCATTTCACGTCCTGTTTGGCTTTTCATTTCACGTCCTGTTTGGCTTTCCATTTCACATCCTGTTTGGCTTTCCATTTCACGTCCTGTTTGGCTTTCCATTTCACGTCCTGTTTCACTTTCCATTTCACGTCCTGTTTCACTTTCCATTTCACGTCCTGTTTCACTTTCCACTTCACGTCCTGTTTCACCACTATCTTCACCCCGTCTACCCCCCATAGTTAATTTTTCTAATGCCTCAATCCTCTTTTCTAGTTTTTTTAGATATTCCAATATTTGAGTACCAACCTCAGAGTTCACTATATTGACCTGAACCTTGTTTCCACAAGGTTTAATTTTTTCAGCTGCATTTCCTACTTTCCCTAGGCTCGCCTTAATTGTCTCTGTTCCTTTCTCCCACACATTGTTCATAGGCGCTGTCATTGGCTTCCAACTGTTTCCTCCATGTTCCTGCTGCACAATCTTTCCTTCCTTCGAGGATACATCTATCCTGCTTGTAGCACCCGTCCTCGAGTCTCTCAGATGAGGCTTCATGCGACATAGATAGGAACCAGCATTGTGGCTTCCTCGACAATTGCAACAAGATGGGACGATTTTTTCACCGTTTTTAATCTTGACTCTACACTCTCGAGAGTCGTGTTTCTTACCACAGTACCGACACCTGGAGTCAAACTGGCATTTCCAAGCCATATGTCCCCAACGAGAACACTTCATGCATAATATGGGCTCCTCAATGTATTTTACAACTTTCCTGTAGCCTAGTCCTTGCACAAAAATTCTTTCTGGAGCCTCACCCTTTACCAAGGCAACAACCTGGCTTTGTTTTTCACCACGAACACTGTTCCTCTTCGCCCAAACAACACTATCATTGTTGAGCAATAGATAATCAGGATCCAAATAAGTTGGATACTTAAACACTATGACCTTGGTGTACATCATACCTTTTTCCGGAGTAACCATCACAATATTCTCAAACCCATCCTTCGTTAGGTGTTCCACGGCCTCTTCTGTCCCAACTGTTATATAGGGCCGGTGAAGACCCTCCTTGAATAGTGGTTCATATTCAAAAAACTCCTTAGCCAAACGAACCGTCCACTCCAGCTTTTGATGGAAATTCAGTTGACATGCTGTAGGGAACAACAGCCTCTTCCTTCCATTAGTCTGCATCTCCCGCGTCCTGCTGAGCATGTCTTCATTTTTTGGTCTCTTTGTTATTTCCTCTTCACTGTCTTCGTCTCGCTGTCTTTGAATATTTCTCCGTTTATATCTGTTTACTACTGCTTGATACGGCCTAGTATCATCCTGTCTGCCATCCCCACTGTCACACTCTCCAGGCCCAGTACAGGATCTTCCATCACCTAGGCAGACCGCCTCAGCCATTTCCTCGATACACAAAGGCACTGTATCACTGCAACAGTCGAGAACAAATTCACAACATCTAGCTGCAGCAGCCACGTGCAAACACGAAGATGCGGAGCAACACGTCCTCCTCGCATCATGCAGCAGACCGCACTGATGTGCGGTCACTTGGAAGAATTTAACAAGTAAGTATTGAAGTACTTCCTTATAATTGTGCAGCTATAGTTATATTATCTCATAAGATTCAACTCTGGCTAAATTAACAACTGATTTTCGAAAATTGTATACCATTTTACAACCAAATGTTTACAAGTGTCATCTGCATTGTTAATTGCCTAGTCATTTACACTACAGATTTTTTTCCCCTCGTGGTCAACATTGTCTAGATATCACATTTTCCTTTCCCGTCGGATTTTCAATGCATTTACCGATGGCAGAGATGTGATGTTAAGCCCACAAGTATTCGTGGTTTCCCGGGGTTGAATAAATATTTGCGTGTTAATCTGCTAGTGAAACTGTTTGATGTGTTGTTGACAACAGCCACCCATAACTTTTGTTAATTATTGGCTACATAGTCAATATTTAGCGAATATTGGGTACATATATATATATATATATATATATATATATATATATATATATATATATATATATATATATATATATATATATATATATATATATATATATATATGACAATGTCAGACCACGGAGGAAAAATGAAACAGGAATTTCCTTAAGTACTTTCGTATATTAAATACATCTTCAGAAGGTGACCTTCTGAAGATGTATTTAATATACGAAAGTACTTAAGGAAATTCCTGTTTCATTTTTCCTCCGTGGTCTGACATTGTCACATTCTTAATCACGTGTTTATTTTCGTGATACACACACACACACACACACACACATATATATATATATATATATATATATATATATATATATATATATATATATATATATATATATATATATATATATATATATATATAATATAAAGGCGTGTGTGCGCACGCCTTTATGCACTTGTGAGAACTTTTAGTAGATTAATTTATTTTAAATTATAGTTGACCGACTATAAGTACCAACTGCTTATAAAACTTAGTTGAGAAGCGCTAATTATTATGCAGTCATACACAGCCAGGGGTGGAACATGCAGTCATACACAGCCAGGACTGGGACATGCAGTCATACACAGCCAGGACTGGAACATGCAGTCATACACAGCCAGGAGTGGAACATGCAGTCATACACAGCCAGGGGTGGAACATGCAGTCATACACAGCCAGGTCTGGAACATACAGTCATACACAGCCAGGGCTGGAACATGCAGTCATACACAGCCAGGTCTGGAACATGCAGTCATACACAGCCAGGTCTGGAACATGCAGTCATACACAGCCAGGGCTGGAACATGCAGTCATACACAGCCAGGGGTGGAACATGCAGTCATACACAGCCAGGGGTGGAACATACAGTCATACACAGCCAGGTCTGGAACATACAGTCATACACAGCCAGGTCTGGAACATACAGTCATACACAGTCAGGTCTGGAACATACAGTCATACACAGCCAGGGCTGGAACATAGTCATACACAGCCAGGGCTGGAACAAACCGACCATCACAATACTCTCAATACTCAAGCAAGAGTAATGCAATGCTTGCTCGTTGCTCACATTAAAAAAACAGGAAAATAATACATCAACTGTAATTTAGTTTTACTAGACAAGTAATTATTAATATCGTACAATGTAATTATACAAAAAAAACGTTGTTCGACCTACAATGTAAAATAATAAACCTATGCCAACATTCACGGGATATTCGAAGCTGGCTGGTTTAAGTTTTAATCTCAAGGTCAAAAACTGTAATTTTAGTTTAGTTCATATATTTTGTACCACACACCCATCTGATGAGCGGTGGTGGGAAAGAGTTACAGGGGTATGAGTTTAGAAACATAATGGGGTTCACGAACTGAAACCGAACATTCGTTTAGCTAAGTAAATTACAGCACTGATGAGCTAGTTACATACTTATGGAGATATATTTAAAATATCTATATTATTAAATTATTTTTTATAACAAAAATATATTCTGATTTGAAATAGCAACCATTCGAGGGAAGGACAAGGATGAAACACATTTGATTTCCTTATTATAGTTTAAAAAAATACAAAAATAAATCATACAAAAGCTAACTATAAAGGAATTTATATTAGTACGAATCTTTAAAAATGATTAGTGGCATGACCTCCTAACTACTGTTGGAACTTTGACCAGTTTCGTGACGCCGTCCAAGAAATACGGGATGTGCCATTTGCTAAACGAATGACTGAACAATTGCCAATCATAATATAACAAATTAAGCAATATATATTATATTATAATAATGCAACAGTCTTTTCAACGTCTAGTGAATGTTATAACTCAGGAGTTGGGGGTAACTGAGATAGCACATGAGAGTTAGGGGAAACTAAATTCAAAAATTTAAAACGTATCAGTCATTTTGGACGTGTTTGTGAAATGGGATTTCCCGAAGAGCTGCGCACCGGAACAGGGGGGGGGGGTAGAAATAGCCTAAGCTACTCTATCCCTTTGGGATGTATTTTCTTGTCTCATTAAACATACTTTAACTTGCGTACCGGAGTCGAGCTCTATTAGGAAGGTATAGGGGCGTCCACGTAGAAGGGCTCAACACCTGCAGCGACCACCAGACACGCTCCGTTACGACCCTCCTCCAGGAGCTTCACCAGGGCCTCCGCCACCGTCTCTGTCCTATATAAGTCACAAATTATATTAATGTTAAGTCATAGCCCCCCCCTCCAATTTTTTTTTTATCAAATGTACAATAGGAAGTCTTCTTGCACAATATTTTGTTCTTCAGATTCTTTAAAATGAATCAGTAAAAAAGTAATTTTACCGAATGAAAATGTTGAGATTAATTAATTTTAGTTTGTCGCGTAATTTAATTATACGCAAATAGGTGACCACATATAACAGGGGTTTTCAAATATATCTATATTTATTGTTTGAAGAGAGATATGATATTGGATCCAAATATTTGTTTAAAAAAAGAAAGGTAAGTGTGAAACAATGAGTTAGGAATTTAAGAATAATTTTTTAAATTGCTAAATAGGGTAAGTGCAAATTATGTGAACTCGGATTTTAAAATAAATGATAAGAAAGTAAACTAAACATATATGGCATTTATCTTAAGCTTAAAAAATAATAAATGGTCAAGTAAATATAATTAAAAATTTAAACGCAGAACTACTGGTGCTACTAGCAAACCTAGCGCAAATTAACTGAGACTGCAGTAAGGCAGCTACCGCAATAAAGGAGACCATAGCAAAAGAGGACGGAACGCAGAGTCAATCAGCAAAAATCCAGAGAAAACATTGCAAGATTGAAATGTCCAAAATTACTGATTAAGTTCTAGCCTAGTTAACATACACGGATAAGTATGTGGAACAGATGGAGAAAAGGAGGTATGAAGCGAGGCAGGGAGGTTAGTGCATATATATGGCTAATAAAGTAGATATAGCTAATAAAGTGGAGACGAATACATCCTAGCAGAAAACAGTTACCAAACTTGAGCTCATCTTGCGTGTTTTGTCTTGCAAATTCAGTTATACTTACGACATATCTTTAATTGAGGCGGCTAAGTTGGCCATGGCAGCGGCGACCTCTGGAGAGAAGGCAGTCTTCGCTGAATTGGTGAGAAGGTCGGTCTTCACTAGGCTTGGGCAGAGCGCCTGCACCTTCACCCCGCTGTATTTCAGGTGGAACTCAGACTGTGGACACGAAACACGTTGTTATATTTTTATACATATCGTAAAAGCAATTACTTTATGTAAAAAAAAAATGAGATCCTCCCTAAAGGTATATTTGATGACTGATATTTATCACAATAAATTAGAGATAATTTCAGAGGAAGTCAGAAGGTTCCTCTGCTAACGAAACGGTTGTCTTCGTCTAACGCTCAGTATCGTATTGCATTTGGGTGGAGTACTTCCGTGATGGCTGACTTTGGAGCTAATTTTGACAGACGTGATAGTGGTTGCGAATTTAACGTTCACGTGCTTTCGTAGCAGACATGGTTGATTTTGCAAGCTTGATAGCTTTTATCACGCGCTGAACTGTGAGGTTTTTGTAGTTTTCTCAATCAAATCCCTACTAATTATAAATGAAGGATATAAACTTTGTTTATATCCTTCATGATACAATCTTAAAGTGTATAGCATATATTTATTTTTGCATTTGAATTGGTCATGGGGAGCTAATAATGAGTTGTGTATTGCATGGGGGTTGGTTGTAGTAATTTTCTTCAATAATGTTTTAATTAAAATGGTTTCAATTCGGCACATTACTGCTCGGAGGCAGTAACAAATACAGGACGACTGTACGGGACCCTCAAGCTGGCATTAATGTCACTGTCCTGCATGGCGTTGTTCCCCTGATGCGATTCGTACGAAAATACAGGATGAGGTACCCAACACAATTTTCCCTTTGTATGGTTGGCCAAAACAACCGTATTTTTAAGTGAGAGAATAATATGTTCAAGAGTGAGTAATCCAATTTTGTTTCTGGCGAAACAAAATGTTTCGCTAGAAATGAAACGCTTGCCACAGGTGTCCATTGGTGAGCGTGATAATCTTAAGAAAGTGTTGCACGCAAGGTGCAAAATGCAGACATTATTATTAGTTTGGTTTACCTTGGCAGGAAGATGGTTAGTATACAAGCCGTGATTTATCCTTGGTGCGTTAAGCGACTTGGTAACTATTTAACATTGATTGATTGATTGATGAAGATTAAACCACCTAAAAAGGTGGCACGGGCATGAATAGCCCGTAAGTGGTGGCCCTTTTAAGCCAATACCAGTATCAAGAGCTGATACTGGAGATCTGTGGAGGTGCGAATGCACCCTGCATGACGGGAGATGTCTCCCTTATGAATGTGTTAAGATGAAGATGAAGCAACCCAAAAGGTGGCACGGGCATAAATAGCCCGTAAGTGGTGGCCATTTTAAGCCATTACCAGTATCAGGAGCTGATACTGGAGATCTGTGGAGGTGCGAATGCACCCTGCATGACGGGAGATGTCTCCCTTGTGAATGTGTTAAGATGAAGATGAAGCCACCCAAAAGGTGGCACAGGCATGAATAGCTCGTAAGTGGTGGCCCTTTTGAGCCATCACCAGTATCAATAGATGATACTGGAGATCTGTGGAGGTGCGACTGCACCCTGCGTGACGGGAGATGTCTCCCGGACCTAATGGTGACCAGATGGTCTTGATTGATGAAGATGAAGCCACCTAAAAGGTGGCACGGGCATGAATAGCTCGTAAGTGGTGGCCCTTTTGAGCCATTACCAGTATCAAGAGCTGATGCTGGAGATCTGTGTATTTAACATTATAAAAATTTAATTATTATTATTAAGTTCAAGTCGATGATTTTTAGTATCAGGTTGCTGCAGTGCAAGATTTTTTAAAAATTACTTGGAATAGTATTACAGGTATTTAAAGTTTTCTAATACTCATTATATGGGGAGTATTCGTCACTAAAATTAACTTAAATTTATTTATACTTAATACGAGATATAAATTTTTAAATATAACTCAATTGCAAAATTTACCTCTGACTACACTCGGAGACAAAATGGAAATTAAATAATGATATACATCAGTATATCATTATTTATATATATATATATATATATATATATATATATATATATATATATATATATATATATATATATATATATATATATATATATATGGCATGTTCATTGTTGACTTTTATGGCGTCGCCTCGTGAAGGTCATTGTCTGTGATATAACACTGGTATACTAGGGCTCGAGAGAGAGGGATGAAACTAGATCAACACGAAGAAACGTAAACAGTAGGCTGTAGTCACCCCTAAACTCCTGGTGAGGCCAACGATGGCGTGTTTGGTGGAGGCGTAGATGGGTCCCAGGGGTGCAGCCTTGAGCCCCGTGATGCTGGAGATGTTGACCACCACGCCCCCAGCGCCGCTCTTGTTGACTCCCATCTTCTCCAGGCCCAATAGCGTCCCCCGCATGCAGCCGCCCTGCGTCAGGAGATTCGTCATAGTATACAAGTTCTTACATTCTTGTACAGCCACTAGCACGCGTAGCGTTTTGGGTAAGTAATTAATCCTATGTTCCCTAGATTAAGTCCTTAATCCTATGTTCCCCGGATTTATAACCCCCCCCCCCCTCCATAAGAACTGGAAAGCAATATTTTGTTCATTTTTCTAAACGTAAGCATATCAGTTAAAAAAAACAATCTTATACGCCATATTATACTGTACAAAATTCCCCGTTACTTTTGGGCAATTCAGTGTTATCTATAGACAATCTCACCATCGTATAAATACATTTTAACATACATCACTATATACATACTGTATATCATAATTCCATAAAATTAGAAACAGATTTAAGATAATATGCATAAGAGGAAATAGCGGTATAATCTCCATATAAAAATCAGGGGGGGGGGGGACTCGATAAAAGCCAAAACGTGTATTCACTCTGGCTTCCTGTCCCCCTGACACCACAATGAATTATTTTGAATTAGAGTTATGGCTGCCTGTTCCCGACACACTGAATTAACTTGGCGGCAACTTTACAGTCATGTGCATGCATTACCTACAGTAAACAAATTTTTATACTTGGCTAAGATTCCTGGCAGTACATCATTGTCAATGAAATACTTATACATTTCTTGGACACCACTGATGGTGTTATCTTTGAAGTCCGCGATTTTTTCACATTCCATCCTATAATGACGCAAAGTATGCGAATAGTTCTGCTGACAGAGTTTACATTTAGTCAGATCTACATCAGCAAATGATGCAAACTCCCAGAGATACTTGTAGCTGAGCTTAAGTCTAGTAGACATTTAGAAGTCTGCTAACCTTTTTGATGAAACATAGACGTGCGGTTCTCGCTGTATAACAGAATGATAGATGTTGTAACTGGTGTGAATTTTACTTTGCTTCAAGTCTATTAGATTTTGTTACTGTTCCCGAAATGTTACTGCCCTCAGGCTGCTCAAAGGCAGTCCAAGATGGCAATCAATTCCATCTTTACGAGCAAAAGTTTTAGCTAACTCATCGGTTCTATCATGCATTCGGAGACCAGTATGGGAAGGAATCTACAGGAGACAAACTCTGACTCCATCATTGATTATTTAATTATATCTGTGCCTAGCTTCATACACAAGCACACCACAGTTATGCCTTGGGAAGCTGAGTGCAGTCAAAGATGACAAGGAGTCACAATTATCGTGTCAACTCTGGATTCATATTAACTATGACAAATTTACCAGAGGGCCACTAATGCTAGTGACCTCGACGAGGACAGGAAGCCGGCTGCTTGTCAAAGGTTATTCCATTTGTCCTGAGGATTTTTTTCAACCTGGATTTTAAAATTCAGCAGTGCTTTGGCCATAATCTTAATTATAATGACCTTTTTCACCCATAATCCTATGGGTGAAAAAGCATCTGCTTTCTGTCCTACATTGGGGCTTGTTGAGCTTGAAACCGTTACTCCTTATTTGTATTATATCAGACCTTTTAAAGAAGTTGTTTGTACCAATATCCTCCAAATTTTTCAGTATTTTAAAGGTTTTGATGAGATCCGCCCTGTCATGCCTAGTTTGCAGTGTTGTTAGCCCTGAGGCCCTCAATCGTTCATGGTATGAAAGTAGACTTCATTCTGGAATGATTTTGCTGTCCGGTGTTGTATTTTCTCCAAAGCAGCTTTGTTCTTCCATAAATGAGGTCTCCATGCTTGGGCACAATAATCCAGGTGGGGGCGCACCAGAGATTTATACAGTTGAATATCTATCTTCTTTCCCCTTAAAGTCAAATTTGATTATTCAGAGTATGGTTAGCTTTTTTACTGTCGCTCGAAATTGTGCAACTTTCAGTGATTGATTCTGACTCCAGTGTTGATGGATGGAAAACTAATAAGACAGATAAAGCACAATTAATCTCATTAATGCAAAGCGGTATCTCATCAGTGTGACTTAATAAAGAAGTGTCTCTCATTAGTGTGACAATAAAGCAGTGCGTGATTAGAGTATCGTGTGTGTGTGTGTGTCATCAATGTTTCGTGATAAAACAGCCTCATCAGTACGACATCGGCACCTTAAGTGACTGGTGTTGGTTGATGTGCTTGCTTGTACGCGAGATAACTATTACTACCAGCTCATCCTCCAACAACGATAACACCTATAACGACTACATAGAAAATACAAAATGTGGCCTGTTGTATACTATGGTATCCTATAGTTGAATACTGTATAGGTGAGTTGTAACAACCCAACCATCAACCTAACCTAAACCGTCCTAGACCTAAATAAGCAATATACAACCAAATTTAGTACATGTATGCAACAAACTAAGCCTAGGAAAGGTTGGCATGGTTGTTGTGCACCTTCTGCAAAATTAACAGTAGAAAATGTATGTTTCTTTTAGGTGCAATAGTGCATATTCACTACAATTTTAGAGGGAAAGTGGAGAACTTTTGTTTACCTTATAATAGGCAACAATTAAGATTAAAAATGTAAGGAGACTATGTCCCCGTGTCCAGCTCCTGGAGATTGTAGCACCAAAGAAGGGGATTCTGCTAGTATAAAATTCCCCAATTTCTGTGATTAGAATTTGAAGCAAAATATAAAATTGCTGAATATGTATTCAACATATAGGCTGTTAATATGAAATAGATATTAGAGAAAATAGCATGGGGGGAAGGAAGGAATGTTTGAGTAGTACTGGAAAAAGCAACTCACCAAGTTAACATCAATTGTCTTCTGCCAGTTCTGTTCATTGCCAATACCCGCGTTGTTGATGAGGAGTGAGACGGGCCCCAGCCTCTCAACGGCGGCTTCCCACACTCCTGCAAGGTCGGCAAGCCCAATCAGTCCCTTGCTAATGTAGTGCCCTTGGGCGTAGGGAGTCAGTCAGTCAGTCTCTCTCTCTCTCTCTCTCTCTCTCTCTCTCTCTCTCTCTCTCTCTCTCTCTCTCTCTCTCTCTCTCTCTCTCTCTCTCTCTCTCTCTCTCTCTCTCTCTCTCTCTCTCTCTCTCTCTCTCTCTCTCTCTCTCTCTCTCTCTCTCTCTCTCTCTCTCTTTCTCTCTCTCTTAGGAATACTTCGTAGCAAAACTCAAACGCAAAATAAACCAAACTTGAAATGAATGCTGACAGGTCCTTGCTATCTATAAAATACTCTTCATAAAATTCTTACCTTTAAAAGACTCATCGTTGGTGACGTCACAGTCAACGAAAATGACGTTGTCGGGGTTGTATTTGGCCTGAAGCTCCTCGACCGTGGCGGAGCCTGCCTCTTTGTCTATGTCAGCTACGCATACCTGCAATACCAGATGTTGGTCACTATTGTTATATAAGGCAGTTCGTCAACAGATATTTACACTAATTTTACCCTAATCTAATTTAAACCTAACATGAATTTACTAATCCAGCCTATCTAACAATAAATATATATAGTTTAAGCCCTTTAAGAAAGGAGTTGCAGTTTGTGTGAACTGCCTTTCTACGAACTGAACAAACCCCGTAATATACAACTCAGGAATTAGACGAGAAATGTACAAGAAGAGAGACTAAGATGAAAATAGAGACGGAAAGAATAGGTTAAAAAGATTACCGACGGAGAATTAAAATACGAAAGAATAAAATTGGGAGAAGAGAGGGAAGAATTAACCAGAGTAAGGACTCAAATGCGTGTGAATAGGTTGTAATCTTTTATAAAGCTTACTTGTCACTATTGCAAACATCTATTTATATCTTTAATAGAAAATGTCTGCCTGTCTAAGGTTGGGGGACAGATGCTTGGGGCTAGCATCGCCCAACTTTTCAGGATGAAATTTGGATGGCATGGGTGTGTTACAGGTCAGTTTGAGTCGGCCCCAGTACTCCCTTTTAAAGAGCGGGACAGGGATGATGATGCGGGAGAGGGAAGGAGAGAGGGGGACAAAGGTGGACAGGGACACAAGTTGGGGGAGGACTGGGAGAGGAAAACAGATGAGGGACAGGGGATGAGAGAGGGAGGGAAAGAAAGAGGGGCCAGAAAAGTGGAGAAGAGAAGAGAAAAAGATGAGGGATAGGGAAAGGCAGGAGGGGAAAGGGGGATGGGATGAGTGAGGAGGGGGGTGACGGTAAAAGGGAATGGGAGGGGAAGACGTTTCACCTAGTTGTTTATATAGAAGTATGCAATTTAATTGTTTAACTATTTGCTTACTTAATGTAAGACAAATATAATCATTCACACACTGAAGAATATATTACGTATATTTACAATTATATAATCCTTTGACAACCTTGTATGGCAGTTACCAAAGTGTTTTTGTTGTGTTATGTATTTTATGCAATGACATCATTAAATCTTAGAAGTATTACCGATTGCATAAACATTTTGTTAACACCTTGGCCATTTCTCCCCTTTCCCCTGATAACTGAGTTGAGCATTTTCCGCTGTAAGGGCAGACTCTTTTCAGTTCTTATGGGGTTATAAAATGGTTGGAGGTTTAGCACAGCTGACTCTCGAGGCTAAATACAGCTGACACTCAAGGCCGCCTTAAGTACAGCTGGCACTCGTGGCATGCGAGGCTTAGTTCAGCTGATACTCGAGGCTTAACACAGCTGACACTAGAAGCTAAGCACAGCTGACACTCGTGGCGCTCGAGGATTAACACAGATGACTCACGAAACTTACCACAGCTGACACTCGAGGCACTCGAGAGCCTCTCAAACTTATCCTCTTAACATTCTTGCTTTTTCTTGTATCATTGCTTCGGCAACAAAAATATCTGAATGCACAAATTTCACTTTTGAATGTATGTAACTTGTTGTATGTTGCAAGAGCAGGAAACGACGTAGAATGTGGAAATTAGCCCTAGTATATAGTTGCCTTCCAATAATTGAATTATGGAAAATTATAAAAAAAAATGTCCCGAGGTTTATCATTGCCATTCTTTCAACAGACGCATAACATTCTTCAAAAAATAATTCTACGTGTTCCTTCAAATTGTTCTTGATGAGCCGGGCTGTGTGGCCTAGTCTGAAGCCTTCTAGCGAGGTCTTAGTATGAAAGTACTAATATGATTGGAGTGGAAAGTTCCCGTCAGTTGTGTGCTGGGGCGCTAGGCTGCAGTGCCGTCGAGGCCCGGCAGCGTGTGGTGACACTGTGATATTATGATAGCATTCCCAGTCCTCGTTGTGTATTGATGACTTCTGCACGCTGCGAGTTATGCCTCCTCCTCATCCTTTCCTCGCCTGCTGTCTTCTCATTTTGACTATGCCAACCGCAATAGTAGTTTATCATATTTAAGAAAATCCGTATCTCGTTTAGAAATTTGCACGTCATTGTATATAGTATTCGCCAAATATTTCCATTAGGCAGACATTGGAAAGTTATTAAGAACAAAATGTTTATTAGATATACCGTATTGATACTGTATTTTGAAGTTCTGGTGCTGGAGAATTGAGTCGAGATTATAAACCGAACTTGAGGTTTAGACGAATACTCATCTTGTTATGGTGCAAGAAAAAAATATTTATCAAGGATGAGGCATACAATGTGGGTGTGGGAATGTGGGTGTTGACATGTGAGCGGGTATGTGGGTATGGGCATGTGAGTGGGTATGTGGGTGTGGGGAACGTGTGGGTAGATATTAAAATGGGCATGTGGGAGCATGCACGCACTTTTCGATTCCAAATTTCCCGTGCATTTCGCTCATATAATATCAACGTATTGTTCATCTTTCAAAACCTCGTTTAGGCTTTCAGTGCTCGTGTGTTAGCGAGTACATGTTCATAGTTCTCCGCTGCTGCTCATTCTCGAGGCCCGCCATGATCTGAGCTGGAGAGGGAGGTGGCGTCAGCGAGTCTCTCAAGGGTGACTGTTGCACGTCAACGAGTACAGAGGCCTCTTTTTGGGCTCTTTCGTGTCTCAGATTTTTTCTGGTTCACGACCCTAATCTCGATAAAGATTAGGTTGCAGTACCTTCGTACAAATTAGTGTACTACAACCCTAATCTATACGAGGGGTTACTTGAGGGGTGTCAAACATGCGGTCCGCCACCCTCCTATATATGCATGCAGTCCGCCACCCTCCTATATATGCATGCGGTCCGCCATGCACTCCCCTACTACAGTAGTACCTTGAGCAACCAACTAACAGTTACAAGCACATCATATATATTTTGGCAAATTACTTTGTTTTATCTGTTGTGTGTATCCAGAAGATACTAGCATTTTACGGCTCTAATTAGACCACCGGATGACTTTAAAGACGCGTATTAGACGTGACAAAACTGGATTGCTGCGTGATTTCCTTCACTGGGCTGCCAATGACGTGGGGTTGTTCGAGGCAATTTCGAACAGTATGATTAGTATACACGCGGCAACTTACTAGACAATAAAGCTAATGAGTTAAGCAGTCGTAAAAAGCAGGCCTAAGTTCTTATAAGATCGGTGAGGCTACACAGTTGAGGCAGTTACGCCATCGCTCAGAAATAGTGGTGTATTCAAAGCCTTTCTTAGAGGGGAAACTTTATAAAAAAAAACGCATGCTAATGGTTTCCGTCGTCATTTTATCAGAGAAATTGCAAACTTTTTTTTCACATAATCTTCTCAAGAAGTACAGTTCACGAAAGGATTAGTGGATTATCAGAGAATACTAACAGTCAACACAAAAAAAGTTTTTTATTGCGTTTTCTACTACAGTTGATGTAGTTGATGAGACTGGTACAGCAAGGCTTCCAACTGTTTTACGTGGTGTTGATGAAAGTGTGCACGTAACAGAAGAGTTTGTGAAATTTATTCCAACAAAAGGAACATTTGGTGATATTTTTGTGAGTTTGGTAACTGGACAAATTAGACGGTGGACACATGCTGCGTGTCTGGCTACAGAAGAATAGCAAATAATAGATATAAAAGTTGGTGTGGTTACTAAATTAAAGAAAAAAAATGCAAGCTGTGAACGCCAACAATAAATTTTGCAAATTCCATTGCATTATTCATACAAAAGTGTTGTACTGTAAAACATTACAAACTGATGATGTCCTGGATGTCGTCACAAAGACAGTGAACTTACACGAGCACGAAGTCCTGACTACAGACTGGTAAACTGTCATATCACACAGATGTTTGATGGTAAAGTCTTGGAGCGGTACTGAAGCGCTCTAATGACCTGCATGAACTACAGATTTCTGTCAAACAGAAAGAAAGGACTGCATGAACTGAGAGAAAATGAATGGCTTTGTAATCTACCTTTTTAAGTGGATGTCACAGAACGCTTAAATTGCCTAAACACAAAGATGCCAGGACGCAATAAATGATCATATTTTATGACTGTATTCCAATTGTTTCCCCACTAACTGACCTTCATACTAACCCTCTGTTTACTTTGAAATGACCATGCCCATAAGCAACTTAAGATAACCCCATGAATCCCGGGAGTCTCATGACGTTTTGAAACCTTAGGAGAACTTCATGCCCTCCTAACGTACCAGAGGACCCTTAACTTGCTATTTTGAAGAAAAAATCAACATTTATTTTCAATTATTTTTCATTTTCAAATTACGTCCATTTTCGGCCATACGGGCAAACGGCCAAATTAGACGTAATTTGTAAGAAGTGGTTCTTCGGTAGAAGAACGTAGAAGTAGAAGAATGTAAGAAGTACAAAAACGAAAAGAGCACAGGTGGACGAGACATCAGGAACTAAACTGGTTTTTTAGGGGTTGACCCTGAAACATGAGGCGACTGGCAAGGTCCAGCCAGGACTCGTTTCTCCTCACCAGAGCCGCAACCATAACAGTTTTATGTTCTAAAACAGTTTTATGTTCTAGAATTCCTCGCCAGTTTCTCAGGGCGTGGGGGGCTTCCGGAACTGAAAAGCAAAGTTAAGAGGAGAGACTAGAGGCGTTAAACATGCCAAAACTAGAAGAAGAAAGAGAGGTGATATGATCACCACTTACAAAATACTAACAGGAATAGACTAAATGGACAGAGGAATTCCAGAAACCAGCAACTTCCCGAGCAAGAGGACACAGATTCAATCTAAGAAAACAGAGGTGCCGAAAAAATATTAGAAAATTTTCTTGTGCAAACAGAGTGGTTGGAACAAACTAAGTGAGGTGGTGAAGGCCAAAACCGTCAGTAGTTTCAAAGAGTACTGGGAAGATGAGACACCACGAGCATAGCTCTGATCCTGTAACTACACTTCGGTAATTACACACGCAAATACACACAAACAGCTCCTGTGTGCGAACGGGGTCGTAATCGTACGGGCCCCAGATTCGATTCCCGATTGAGGCAAAAACAAATGGGCAGAGTTTCTTTCACCTAAG